AAATTATTTTAAACTCATTTTTTTTTTTATTTCATTTTTTTAATTAATTTGAAAATGTTTTCTAAAACAAAAAAAAAAACAAAAAAAAAGAAAAAAAAAACAAAAAAAAAAAGAAGGAAATTATTTACCTGGAACAAATTAATTAAAAATATAAATTTAATATGCTTAATAATTTCAAAGAGTCAGTGAATCGTCGAGAAAGAGAAATTTATGGTTAATATAACAATGAGAAACTAAAAAACGCAGATATTTTCTAAACGCACATGTTATTTTTTGTAAAAATTTGTATGGAATAATAAACTAAAACTTGGTGACGATACTAACCTAAAATATACTTAAATTTTGAGGGAGATAATGGAAAGAGATAAATATTGTAGCAGCATGGTAGAAAAACAACAGAAAGGAAAGGATATTTCAACAAGCAGAAGCCTCAGGACCAAGAATAGCGAAAGAACTCAGAGAAAAGGGGGATTTCGTTTTACAATGTCTTCCAGTTGGGAATTAATTATTTCCAAGGCCTCGAGAGCTCTGGCGGACTCACTCACGCTACCATCTCTCATTCTCTCCTATCTCCTCTCTTCTTTTTATCTTTTCTCGCCTATTTTCCCACTTTCTTCTCGCAGCCGTATCTGCCATTCGTCTTCTTCTTTTTTTCCATCTCTCGTTTTGGCTTGTACCTTTTCTCTCGCTTTTCTCCTCCCTCCTGCTAAATGTAAAGATAGTTCCAGGAGGCGGAAAACTTCGCTGCCATTGCTCTCCACTATACGTAAAGTGGCCTCAGGCTATAGCCTACCGGAAATAGCTTGGATGGATAGATAAAGACAGACTTTCCTTTCCTTTTCATTCTTTTTTTCCTTTATTCTCAAGACTTTTATCCCTACGATTTTTCCCTATCGGCTTTCTCGCGCCACTCGCTCATTCATCGCGTCAAATACATTCTATTATACTTGAGAAAAGGAAGATGCTACCCTACTTCTGCCATTCTACCGTTGCAAGCTTGCGGGTGGCTTCGCGAGGGAAAGCGCTTTTCTTTTATCGCAGTCATGCTTGATGGATTTCGCGTTCAGTCATTGGAAACGATTGAAAGTGGCTTGTGAGATAAATTTTGATTATCGTTACTTTTTAATTTCCCTTTCTTAACTACATAATATATTAATGTTTTCGTATATAATTGATGTCTTATATTATATTATTTAATTAAATACATACGCGCGCGCTCTCACATACGCACGCACGCACGCACGCACGCACACATATATATGCCAAATAAATAATTTCTTGTCATTTCTTGTTTATTTGAGATATCGATGTAAATTGTTTTTATGATTTTCTTTAATCTTAATATTTCAATAATTTTAATTGTTATAAAAATTTTTCATTATCTTATTTCAGTTGTTTACAGTGGTGTTTGCTGAATATCATAGATATGCAATTTATTGATATTAATTTAATTTAATGGAACTTAATTTATCACGTGTAAGAAACGTTTCTAATTCTTAGTGAAAATTACATCATCGTTAAGTCAATATTTCTTATCGACTATTTTGTTGACGAATACATTACTTATTTTAAAATAATAAAATATTAATTAATTCTATTGTTTTTTCACCTTAGACTTCTTTAATAGGATATATTTAATGTTATTAAATCTTTAAATTTTGCCCGTGCTGTTTTAATTTAATATTTTTTTTTAGAAAAATAGCATATTATTGTATCTAACGTGTATTATATATATATATATATATATATGATAAAATTACAATTGCACATTACAGTTAGTATTTGATAAAATTGTTTGCGGAAATTATCAATTACTATATGTTTGTTTGCCATTACTTGAAAGGAATACGTAATATTTATATTTCTCACAACAGTTAGTTTTTATAATTATCTACTTTTTTACCCTTTTATATATCGTTATATCGATCTCTATCGATCTTATATCGAACCCTAATATATCTTTATCAACTAAGAATAATTTTCAGTTTTCATATGTAGAATATATGTTTTTATATAATTTGCCTTCAATTATGATCACTTGATGATTTGAAATTTATTAAAATCTAATTTTTATAAATTATTATATAATTAATATGTTTTGTATATAATTTTGGTAATTTGATTATTTATATCAATGTATTGCTTTCGAAATTCTACTTCATGTAATTTTGTGATGACAATATTTCTTATAAATTAAATGTTTTTATAAACGTTGTATAGTCTTTGAAAAATTAGATGGGTTGTTATTTTAAGACATATAAATGTTTGTATTAATTGCAAAATCATTTATTATCGATTTTTAAATAATTATTTTACACAATTTAATAAATTTTTTGCTAATTTCATCCTCATCAAGTAATTATATATATTACAACAAAGGCAATATGCTAAAGATTATTATTGAAAATTTGTTATAAATTATTAAAAAAATCTAACCAGCTTACGCTAACGTATCCCAATCATAAATATAATATTATGTTTATTTAATAATTCATAGCTATGAAAATGGATTTTATATTATATTTTAAGCAACATACTAAAACATAAATGTTTACCTATAATTAATTTAATTACAAATTCAGTTAAATATTCACTTTTTAATCTGTAGTAACTTAAAAGATAAGAGATCGGAAATTGTCGATGATGTGTATATTTATTATTGTCTTATCTTATTTTGAATATCATAATTGTGTTGAGTTAACTAATATGTATTAAATTTTGTGTATGGATTAAAAGTTTAGATTAAATGCATAATTCGGGTCTCATTTTTAATTAAAAACGTACTTGTATCAATTAAATGAAAATTTTTCAATTTAAACACAATTAAAGTAATTACAATGCCTTAATATTTGAATTTCATCGTAAAAATATTTTAATTCAATAATACAATAAAATAACACTACTAAATATTGAATATATAAAATGAAATAATGAAATTTTGTGATTTTATATTTTTAATAGATTTATTAACAATAAATCGATGTCATAATTCGTGTTAATAAGGAATATAGGGTTTAGTAACTTTACTTAGGAAAGAAATTACATTTAAAGTCAAATTTATAAAAGAAAAATCATTTTTATTATATTCGTTGTAAGTGCGCATGCCTATATATTCACGTAAATTTTGTATATAATATTCTTATTATAATCGAGCATTAAATATTTCTGTACATGTTGTAATAATGATTAATCACGGAATTGAATTATTACCGATAAAAGCTGACGAAAAATGGTTTTACACATTTCATACACATCTCCAAAGATTTTAATTGCCATTTTTTCTTTTCGCTTTTGTATCTTGTTCGATATGTAGTAATAAATTATCATATCTCATGTATTTATTCTTATTCGTTGTCCCATAACGTTTTCCTTTTTCATCAATTGCGAATATACTATCAGGTATACGCGCTAGATTGTTGTTACCAAATAATAATATATTTATCATTATATTTTATTTTGTCTCTTTTTTACACATAATTCTTATAAGTATGGGCATACTTTTTATATGTTCATCATCTAGATAATTTTACGTTTTAAGTGATTTTTCTTTTCTTTATTTCCATTATTCGTTCACACGGACAAATTATCTAGATAAATCGAAGAAGAAAATAGCCGATTAAACAACCACTAATGCAACTTCTTATAATTTCATAAAATGAATTCTTCAAATGCTTACTAATACTAAATAATTATTTCATACTTGTAGTAATTGTCTAGAATTATTTAAGCGGCTCTTTTCTTTTACAATGTAAATTTTAGTTTATTCAAAATAATTATTTAAAATGTAACTGCACTGTCTTGGACTCCAGTTAAAAAAAGACACATTAACATTATAAAATTATTTTTTATTTTGAGTAATGTAAAAATATAAATTCTACAAATTATGAAGTGATAAAATTGATATTTAGTTTTACTTTTTAATATTATTGATTAAAGAACAGTCAATGTAATCTACATAAATTTAATTAAGAATTAGATAAGTATTGAATAATTTAAATATTCATGAGATCATGAGGTTTATTTTTATTGTTCTTATTGTTATGAATCATAATATAATAATTACTATTACTATTATCTTTATTAATAATATTACTATTATTATTGTTATTGTTATTATTATTATTATTATTATTGTTATTATTATTATTATTATTATTATTATTATTATTATTATTATTATTATTATTATTATTATTATTATTATTACAATAAATATTTTTATGTATTAGTATTACAGTAGTATACGTTATGATATAATTTATTTATATAGCCGCATATGTAGGAAAAAGAAAAATACGTTTCAAGCAACATTTTATCAATTGTTATCAGTCCAAGGCAGGATATACTTATAGATCAATATTACTTTAAGCTATGTAAAATGCTGTTTAGGACTTAACTGTAAATGTTGAAAATAAGTTTAAAATACTTTACTTTTTGAGAATTTTTCCATTTAAGTTACCGTGTGCTTTGCGTCTCTACTTACTCTAATTACGCTTATAAAATTGACGGCCTCTTTGCAGCTTTACGTAATAAAATTCACAAGTAAGAGTTCGTGTGTAAGCCCGCTTTATTAAAAGCCGAGTAATTCTCGAATTGAAAATGTGCTTTTCCCGTTAAAGTTTTCGATCACACCTTTCATTATCATGCACTGCCCACCACTTGATAGTTCTTGCGAGAAATTGTATAAAATATCGTATGAAAAAGTTTTATAAACATTTCTACGTGAAGTTTCCTTTATTTAGTACATGCAAATGCATAGCAGACAAAAAACCACAATATAAATGCTTTCGAATAAGTTAAAGTAAATCCAGCCGATGTGACATTCGTTATTTTGCCTAATGTTCGCGCGGCTGTCGCCGTATCGGGAAATTGCACCAGCCAAAATCTCTCTCATACCCTCCACTCCCGTCGTACGCTCTTACTCTCTCATTCTCGCGTAGATGCGTACGAGTGGTGGTGCAAAGCGAGCAGGACTGTACGCGGAAAGCTTTCTACGGCAGTCTACGTGAAAAGTATCGGTCGACGTGTACCGAGAAGCAGCGCTGAAAAATCGATGAAAAACAATGGGATAGAGAAAAATACGGCGCGGATTATCGGTGCCACTCGGTGAGACACTCGCCGAGAATGTAAACACGCGCTATAACGCCCATCATTGCTGATAAGGAATCCGGGGCATCGCCCCGAGGTCCTACCATCCTGGAGATGACTCGGACACTTTGCTTTCCACTAGCAATCGTCCTGTGACGATGAGGTCGAGTGTACCAGGGCTGCCACTCGATCGACTATGCTCGAATCGCACTGCAACAAACAAGGAAATTGCATCTTATTAGGGGGCTCATCGACTATTTATAAGAAAATAGTTTGCAGAAATGAATTAATTATTGAATGAGATTCTTTTTAAATGCAGCGTAAGAGTAATTTGCGTTGATGATTAGATCATTTACGTTGCCATTAATTATTCGATTATAAAGCTTTCCACGGCATTGTATATAATAATAAAATATTATAACTATGTACGTTTGAATAAAAAGAATTTTTATTTAAAAAAATTTAATTTAATACCAATCACATTAGCTTATAAAGCTACATGACAGCGCCACTATCTTGCGTCGATGCTTTCCACTTTTACAGATACACAAACTTTCAATTTTATAAATAATTCCGCAGATTAAAAAGGGAAGAGTTTTATCAAAGTTCGAATGATTGAAATAAAGTCAATCTTCAAAGTAAAAAATTTCTGAATTTATGAGTAATCAAAATTACATGTCAGTTATCGGAAATTGAATTAGTGAAATTTCACTGCAATTAGAGAATATTCACTGATTCGTAGTTATAAGTATGCACGAGTAGAAAACTTATAATTGCGAATTAGTGAATATGCAGTAATTACAATGAAATTTCATTAATTCATTCTTGAAAGGTGAAAAAGAAATTTTCTAATTAATTAAAGTTTTTAAAGCCTGCAATTATCGGTACTCTGTATTATTTAACCAAAATTATAAAACAAAAAAATTATGATTACGTAGAAAAACTATTATTACAAAAGTTTAATGAATCATTATCGATTATTAGACATCATAATCTTTATGTAGTCGTGACAATTACAACAATTATTTTAATAAATTTGCAATTCTTGTATATTTAGCTAATATTTATATTATTAATTATATTAGTGCCTCATACGCATAACCAAATCCTATGTCTTTAGAGAGTACAATTAAAATTACAAATAAAAATTGCAAATAAAAGTCGCTTATATCTCATTTTATAGAAATAAAAAGTAAAATAGAAGATATATCTAATGTCATGAAGGTAATATTTTCAATTTTAAAAACGATATAATTTATAACGATAAGATTTATAACGAAATTTGTAAAATGAATAAATTATAAGCTGTATAAACTATTATCTTAATGTTTATATGTACTTGTCTAGTGATAATATTTTAACTGCGAATATCATTAATCATAAATAAATAGACTTGAAATACATAATTTAGCATGTAGTTATAAGTGGTTGGAATGCTATTTATTTTATAAGAAATACACGTAAAATATATTAGCGGCCATTTTAGACTTAATTCTAACTTCAAACAATATGCTACTGAATTTTTACGTTATTATTAAAAAGCTAATTGAATTATTAAAAATGATGAAAATGCCAAAAAAATCAATTTAATTTTGACAGCTTAATTAATGAGATTTCTGGAATTTATTAGCTTATACTATTAATAATCAATTTAAGGGAATAGGCGATGATTTTTTTCGGAATTTTATTATCTCGAATTAGGATTATACGTCGTTGTTAATGAAAAAACTATTAATTATTTTGTACATTATAGAATCTTAAGGAAATCAAAGGCAGTTTTCCTTAATGTAATTATTTATGAATATATTTAACAGAATATGAAACTTTGATATCTGTTAAACCTCAGGGCAACCTCAATGTTACGAATATTTTCAATCTATCATTATTTGCAAACTATTCAGCAATTATTATTTAGAACAAACTAGAATCGTCAGAATTTTTAAACATCTTGGCCGTGTAGCTTTTATAAAATATATTTTGCCCATCTTAGTATACTTATGTCCATATATAAAGTAAGATGTAAAAATAAGGCGGAAAATTTTCCTTTCAGGATAAATGCCCTCGAAATAAATACCACTTAACAAGCTTGAGATATAAAAAATTTTAAAATGATATTGCTCAATGTCAATGCATACACGAAGAATTTCATTCTTATCCTTTTATTGCTGGCGAGATGCATAAGAAAGCCTTTGAGTAAAGTATATTGGATAGGCTTTAGCATAAGTTTATAAAGGATTATTATATATCGAAATGTTTTTATTTATCGATTGAAATTTCTTCATATAATTTAGCTGAGAAGAGCTAACGAAACTCTCACTTTACTCATCTTTGACTGAAATAAATATCAGCTAAGCCATATATTTGATCGGGAGAGAAAAAAAAAATAATATTCATCTAGCGACTGAGTGAATATTGAGAAATGAGAGAATTTTTAAGTAACACAGTTTCGTCAAAGATTTTGTTGAGCTATCAAACAGTAACTTATTACTATCAAATCATCATATCTGTCATCAAATCAAACATAACAGAACTATCAAACATTATCTATTACAGTTGATGATTGATGTCGTTTTACCGTGTACTCGTTAATATAATAATAGTAATGGCAGTAATAATAATATCCATAATAATAATAATAATAACAACAATGACAAAAATTAATAGAAAGGGCAATAATAAATAATTTAACTACGGTGAGTTCTGCAAATTTTTACTTTCGAATAACCATTTAAAGTGAATTTGAACCTATACGTATATGCTGATATTTTTCCGCGACATTAAAATAAAAGATAAATCTTTTAGTTTGAAGACATAAATACTAGCTTACAGGGAGGGGAAAAAATTTTTTTGTTATCCACGATTATTACGTTAAATAATGTATATTCAGAATATTTTTTAACGTATATTTCGCCAGTCTTGATAAAACATTCGCATTGATAAAGTATTCTCAATATCTTGTATAATAGATGATCATCGGCCAGTCACGGAAATACTGGCATATCAAGAAATTCTTTACAACCATTAGAGTCGTTAAAGAATAGCCGAAATAAAATATGCTCTCGATGCCGCGTGGCCCGTTTGCATAGACAGTTTCGTCCATTCGCCCCGAATAGACACTTAAACTCAAATAATAATCGTCATATCCAACTCCTAGCCTTAATGCGCCGGCTTTTCTTCTACGAGCGCGACTTCACAAGAGCCCGTTTTATTTATTCGAGAGACTCAATCTTTGAGTGGATGGAAGAGCGAAAAGTACGTCTGCGCCGACGAGACTCCGCCGACAAGATAAAACACATAAATAAGAGGGCAATAATTTCGCTCGACGACTTCGCGCTGACGTTTCAACGAGGGCAATTTTATTTTGCAGTCGTGAGACGCAATGCGGCGAATCGCGGGTGCGATCCTCCAACCACTCGCGATTGTATAGGAAGCCGCGTGCAATCCCGGAGGCGGGTAGAACCCCGCAAAGGAGATGCAGCCTCCGGAGACGCTCGAGACCAAGATTATTATTAACCCCGGGCGGAAAAGGAATAATGCGTCGTATGTATGTGGCCATTCCAATTAGATCCTTCCTTATCTCGCCGGCGGCGTTGCCGTGGAAAATTTCAAATTCATCGAGTGCCGAGCCCCTTGAGACAAGATAGGCGCACGTGCATTGAACAACGAAGATGCGTTTCGGTGCATTGTGTTCAATTAAAATTCGACCTCTTGTCATTGCATCTCGGCCGAGGGACCTGATTTTAACGACGACACTCGTATAATCGAAGGCCGAGTAATTCCATTGTGCTTGTTTCATATTTTACATAGAATGCTTGGGAGATGGAATCGTCGGGTGCGTAAAGAGGGGTGGTGAATAGTCGATAAAATTACCATTATTACGTTCGATATTCCTATAGATTTCATACTTAACTGAAAAAACTAATCGCAAAATATTAATGTATGAGTAGGAGGAGTTAGTTTTTATTGCCTATGTATTTGCTACTTACGTAAGCTTGCATTCGCCAGCTTATTTATTTTACACAGGTGTGCGGTCTATATTCGTATATTCGTAAACTTTATCTAGTACTTACAGACACTCGGTATGCAGACAGATACTCGCCTTTTACTATTTTATATAATAGAATTCCCGAGTTTTTCTATACTTTCTCCATCTTAATATTGCCGTTTAAATGAATGTTTATTATCATGAAGTTTTTTTTTATAAAAATCTGTTCTTGCTTAGTCGATTACAAAGCAGACTAGTATATTATTTTGCATACACCATTACGATTCTCGTGTTTCCATGCAACTCTGCTTGCATCCTACACTTAAGCAGATGTGTAAGTACAAGTTGTAGAGTCTGCGTGTATCAGTGTATACATATATGCGTATGAAACCATGGTTTAGTGTTTCATATCCACATTCTCAATTTGCTTCGCTATCGTTGAAAGCATGGCAATGTTGATTTCCCAACGGATATCACCGGTCCATCTATAAATTCCTAGTGTATTATCCACCTACTTCTGTCTCTCTCTCTCTCTCTCTCTCTTACTCGCTCATCCACTCACTCGCTCATTCATTCTCTCTCTCTCTCTCTCTCACACACACACATGCACACACTTTATCCTTCCACCCTTTCTTTTGAATGCGTTAGTCTACACTTGACAGGCTATTTCCTAATAGAATAACAAAAAAAAAAAAAAAAAAAAAACCATTAAGTCAAAACAAATGAATAGAAGTACGCATAGAAAATACTTGTAATAATTTCGTTCATGTCTTTCGCATAGAATATTTTGTGATCACAACAAATTATTTTAATCATTTGTCACACCGATTAGCATTAATAATTCATAAACATACTAACTTTTTATAAATTTTCTTTGTAATCGAAATAATTTGCATAGCCTTTTTTCACTCACTGCATAATGTTAATAGTATCGGGCAATTTTGCTTTATGCGATGCAACAGGTACAAATTTTGTCTAAATTATATTTTTACATATTATCAAAAATATCAAGATGCAAATTATATTTATAACATATCGTTTTTGTGCATTTATTTGCTTTTCTAATTTAGATTTGCTTCATAAATCATCGTTAAATGCTATACCAAATCCTCCTAATTTACGTAAGCGAATGTATCCAATTAATCTTAACTGTGCTATTTACTATTTTATTATGAAAATTTAAATAAAATATTTATTAATATCAAGAGGCAGATTTCTAATTAAA